GTAGGTGCGCCCTTTTCTTCAGGTTTAAGGTTTTACTCAACTCCAAAGGACTAGCGGCTGCCGAACTTAACTCATTTCGATTGCGATGTTTTTTGATTATCGCTTACTCATTTATTTTTTCACAATTACTCCGTAAAAGGGAAACCGCGATCAACCCAAGTTTATTTGGACCGGTTTACATACAAACGAAAAGGCGAAGCCTTGACCATGCAACGTCCAGCGTATGCTTTTTTCACCTTGAATTAAACAGAGTGTGTACACAAGGGACCTAACCTAGCAACTATCAAGTCACTTGATTGCTTTGAGACCTCGTCAATAATTGCCATAAAATGTAGGAAAGTCCTTAATGATCCAGGCTACAGAAACATTCGACTTAATTGTGCAGCGGGCGAGCTTGCGAGGCGGATACACAAGTATCTACCTGCAAGACATGGCTCGACACTTGCTTCGTCGAGAAGGCAACTAAAAGTTTGTCGAAAGAGCCCACGTGTGGGACGACTCGACAAATCTGGTCAAGCCTCGGCAATAAAAGATTTGATGTACTCGTTCGAATTGAACGTCCTGTACCAAAGCTGATGACTGTTATTATTATGGGCCACTGTTAATTGGAAGGCATACTTGCAGAATGCGTTTGCCGGCCAATGACTTCTGCCGTAGTTGCCTCGACGTGAATGAAATCGAGAGTGTTTTTCATACAAGTAGAACGTATCGAAACCGTAGAGTGGAACTTCAATCCGAACTAAGACTCTTTGTATGTCGACAGTACAGTATACCACCCGGTACTACTGTTTGATATTTTGTCGGGAGGCGGTTTTGAGCACTACGCTCTATCGTACGTTCCTGTTCGTTGTGGCCTCACCCCTGTGAGTCTTTTAACCCACCCTCTCCTCTTAACCTCTTTGTATGAACTGTACGGGCCGCACCTCCACATTAAAGTCGAGAGTCAGGCGTAGGTATTGTTGTCCGGGGTCTTTGTACGTCTCGACGCTTTTTCAATAGCAACCTGCTTCAGCTATGTCTAGCCGATCTTAATGGAGCACCAGCAACGATGAATGACGCTTCGCCAGTAAATCAATAGGGTGCAGCCAAGCCACCGGAAAATCTGCATCTTCCTACACCATCCCAAAAGCCACGGCAGTATGAAGCTACCATGGATTGCATCTACCCAGATTTCGTATACGTAGAGGATCACCGATTTCATCCCGCTAGCCAGTAGTTATCTGTTCTTTTGTTTGGGTCCCCTCGAGTTTGCCATTATCCTCGTCAGCGCGCAGTTTGTTTTTATAGCCTTAGCGAAAATGTAATGCATGTGCTCCTCGAACTTTAATCTAGCGTCGAATTTAATGCCCAGGTCGAATGTAGCGTACATACCCTGAGGCGGACCTTCGCCTCCTCAATTACTTTACAACAAACGTTCATTTCACCACCACGTCTTTGTCTATCGAGCAGACCTAAATAAAGCGGATATGCCCGAATTCATGCACTTTCTGAACCTAACCAACTGGTTCTACTTCTAGGTGAACGGACGGTTTCGGATGCGAGCTCTCAATTGGTATCAAATCGGGCGCCTGGGTCTATTTGCCTCTGTCCTAGTACGTTGAATGAAGGCAGTCGCTTCAACTTAACCTTACGTAGTGAGATATGAACAAAAATCAAGACTCTGCCCTAAAAGGCCGATAAATGCACAATAGTTTCTAAAAAAAAATATATTTCTAGCCCGACTGCGTTCAGTCTGATCAATTAGCAGAGAAGACAGAATCTACCATGCCAATGATTCTAACTAAGACTGATCCGTGCTCCATATACTTGATACAAGTAAATTAAAAATGTACCTATCATTTTATAGGTAGTTTAAAAATTTACCTATCAAAATAACGTACATATATTTTTTATATTGGGGTAGTCCAAAAGTGCATGTGAAAAAAGTGATGTCCAAA